CCTCACTACTCCTAAGTGATTTGAACACCACAACAAAGAATTCAGTAGCACCTTGAAAATTAGCAAGTTCTTTTGGCATAAGCTTTCATATCTTATGAAGTGTGCTGCCATCCAAGAAAGCTTATGTCCAATAAAACTTTTACGTATTTAGGGTCTCACTAGATTTCTTGGTGCTCGTTTTTGCTGTGACAAACCCATGCTCCTCCCCTATTAAAAACATTTTTTTTATTTATTTTGGTGGGACCGAGATTACATCAATGCAGCATGATGGTCTCTAGCTGCCATTCATTTCCTGAGAATGCCTCATACACGCAGTGGGATTCTTAAGAAGTAAGATGGCAAATGGCTGGAAGCCAGGGCTTCACTTTGAAATGCACCAGGATGCTCACAAAAGGGGGGAAGAAGGAAAACCTGGAAAAGGAAGACTTATTGCCACTGCTAGTGACCAAGGCAGAGAGCTAGGAAGAGGAGTTGGGGAAAATTGTGTGAGGACTGGTAGAAAAGTAGAGAGAAAATGTGTGTGTGTGTGTGTTTCTTTCTTTCTATGTCTGAGTGTTTCCACATGGGATAGGTAGATAGGTATGTCTCTTATGAACAGGCATGTCCCCTCCTCCAAGACAGCCATTTGTAATGGTGCCCATAACACTCACGGTTTGGCTGACATCCTGTAATCCATAATGTAGCACAGCATTATGCAGGCAGAATTACATTATGGCTCTCTTCTATCTCTCAATCTCTCTCACATACACACACATTGGATTCATATACACTCCAGCCATTCACTGGCTACTGGAGCACAGGTGGGATAGGAAGGGCATCTGGCTATGGCCCTATAGCCAGATATGACATTATACACCAAGATCGGCTGGGGTCCTCTAGATGTCACAGTGATTGATGCCATTATTCTCTGCCTGACTAAGACGACCAGAGTTCAATTCCCTGCTTGGCCATGGAAACACACGGTCATCCCACAAAAGTCCTTGATAGGGTCACCCTAAATTGGAAACAACTTGAAGGCACATAACAATTTACACACACACAAGGCCCTTGGTATCCACTAGAGTTTGGTTCCAAGTCCCCTCATGGAGGTTTAAGTCTCATTAAATTACAATGGATAGTAAAATGGTGAGCTTTATATAAAATGGTAAATTCAAGGTTTGCTTTTTGGAATTTATATATATAAATATTTTCAACCTGTGGATGCTTGAATCTGTGGATAACAACATCTGTGGATATGAAAGGCCAACTCTGTGTGTGTGTATGTGTGCATATGTATATGTTTATATTTGCATGCTGGTCAGATTCTGTCTGTTCTAGGACCAGTTACCCTGATTGCACTTACACTGGCAATGGTGCCTCCTGCCCGTGGGTCAAACAGTCGGACATGCTTATCACGGCAGGCCGTGCACAGGAGAGACCCATCCTGGTTCCAAGATGCACTATAAATGGCGTCTGGATGTAGCTCATCCAATGAGAGAGGTGCCTGCCCCACACCTACATCCCAGACTTTCACCACATTGTCACAGCCTGTGGGAGAAGGGCAGAAAAGCAAAGCCATAAGTTGGAAGGCAGGACAACTTGTGAGGCATAAATCTGAAAGCAGAACAACCTGGAAGTCTAAAAAGACCAGGGGAGACAGGTTGGCCAGACTGTGACTATCACTTTCTGCCTATGCCCACATCCATAACCTGTTACCTGCACTCAGCAAGAGATTCTGTGCTGTTGGGTGCCAGGTGACAATCCCCACTCGCTTGGAGTGGCCTTCAAGGGTCACCAGGGGTTCATTCAAGGATCGTGTGAGGCCGACTTCAGGCACTGCCCAGACCTAAAAGCAAGACAGGCAAGAAAGAAAGGATGTAGAAAGGAAGAAGTGAGTGAATAAAATGCCTTTCTCAGCAATATCTAGCTTACCTATAGCCTCTAAATCTAAGGGCCAACTCAACTCCACATGCAACTGTGGATATGAGAGGCATATATATATATATATGCTCATGTATGTGCAAATCCTTGGCACAATGATGTGATCTGAGACAATTGCTTGGGATGTTGCCAAGGACTACAGGGAGCAATGCTTAAAGTATTGCATCCCCTCTCTCTCTGCAAAGTCACTTGTGAGAGATTCTGGAGCGTATCACTCCCATTCTTGTGTGGACTAGCAAAATGTTTAAGGCAGCCCAGTGATATGTGGTGTCTAAAGCGCGCAAATGCTAACAGTATGGGGGATGCATTTTGTACTAACTGTAGTCTTCTGAACACTTTTCAATGGTAACCCCATGTATAGGTGTTACAATTATCTAACCTCAGTGTGTGGGGTCCTACTATTGTTCCCACAAACACTGAGGCTTGAGTGGGATTCTACGATCAAAGTTGTAATGCTGAGGCAGTTGACAATGGTGTGCACAGGACCTGTGACAAGGGAGAAGGGCTAGCTAGCTATGCTGGTGGTCAGAGCAAATTGCCACAGTTCCCCTTCTAAGGAAAGGTTACAAGCCCAGTTCCTGTCTTCCCTTTTTGACTCCCCTTGTTCCAGCCAGCCTCTCACCATAACAGTGCAGTCCTCAGATCCACTCGCAATAACATGGTCGTTGTGAGGACACCATTCCACATCCAGGACAGGAGCTGTGTGCCCTGAGACCACCGGATGGGATTTATCCAGGCGACCAGTCTGCAAATGTAAGGAGAAAGAGTGAATGAATGAGATAGTCTATATCCTTCACTGCACTAAAGATAAAATATGAAGATGTTTCTGTCACACAGAACTCTCCTCTTGTTCAAATAGCAAAGGGAAGTATTTATTGATTTCCACAGTTGATATCCCTAAACTTTCCCCCCCCCATTTGTCTGACTCCTTTGTGATACTTTGTTTTAATTTATTATATGTATTTTAATTTTCTTTGGTTTAATCTTATTTTAAGGGGTTGGGTGGAGGGAGGTAGGGATTGGGGAGAGAGAATGTTTAATGTTGTTTGTTTTAACGCTGTTGTCCCCCGCCCCGATTGCTCTGCAGAGGGGCGGGCTACAAATAAAAATTTATTATTATTATTATTATTATTATTATTATTATTATTATTATTATTATTATTATTAAAATCTCTATCCTGAAATTAAATCATTTGCTTCCTTTAATGGGGTTGTGGGAGGCTGCACTATGCCACTTAGCTGGGACAACCCCTCTCCTGGCACCATGGTATAAATGTGAGAGATTTTAGAAAGCACATGCAAAAGGCTGCCCTTGATTTAGGGTATACTGACACAGTAGACACCACTTTAATTGCCATGGCTCCATCCTACAGAATCCTAGAATTTATATTTTTGTGTGGTACCAGCACTCTTTAGAATTTATATTTTTGTGTGGTACCAGCACTCTTTGGCAGCAAAGGCTAAAGATCTTGTAAAACTACAAATCCCAGGAATCCATAAGATGAAGCTACAGCAATTAAAAATGGTGTCAAGCTGCATTATTGCTACAGTAGATACACTCTTAGAGGACCATAAAATCTAATCCCCTTCCACACCATACTTCAACATAAGTATCTGCCACTACAAGGAAGAATTTGGGGTTCTACTAGTCCTCAAGCCTCTCTCAAACCATTTCCTCCCCTTGGCTCCACCACCTTCACTCATGACATGATGGGCAGGAAGTGATTTCCAAGATAAGTAGATAGCACCTACTCACCTTTAAAGCATAAGATAACCCTAGGCAAGGCAACAAGCTCCACTGCAACCCATCCTTGTTGTGCCTTCTATGTTTGTTTCAATCTGGTCTGGTGCTCCTCAACACTTATAAAGACACACACACCCATTCCTTTGAAACCAAAACTTTGAAATGTTACTGTTTTGGACTATAACTCCTAGAATCCCTTAGCCACCATGGCCAGTTGCAGTGCAAAAAAAGTAACTTTTCCAAGCTCTGTTAAAGATAGTAAAGACTCTTTCACACTACAGTTGGCTCTCCACATTTGAAGCTTTGACTTTTGCGGATTTGATTATTTGCAGTTTTGATTACTATGTTCTCTCCAGGAATCTCTAGGTCCTCCTGCGCAACTTTGCCAGAAGTTGACCATAAGAGTTGTGCTGGAGAACCTATACGTTCCTAGACAAAACACTTTTCTAGGCATCTGTAGGTCCTCCAGCATGATTCTATGATCCACATCTGGCAGATGTTGACCACAGAGTTGCACTGGAGAAGTTGAAGATTCCTAGAGTGGTGTTCCCTTAAGTAAAAATAATACTGTTTTTTTATTTGTGGTTTTTCCACATTCACAGAGGTCCTTCACCCCTAACCCCAGCAAATGTGGAGGGACCACTCTACACAATTATAGCACTATGATTTTGCTTTAATTGCCATGGAATCCTGACATCTGCAATTTAGGGAGGGATATTTAGAATTCTCAGCCACAGAGTTCTAGTCTTGCCCAAGCACCAAACTACAAATCCCAGGATTCCATAGATTGCAAACTGTGTTGTATGAAAAGATCCTAACTCTTCTGTATACAAGCACAACTTTGAGATAATGTTGGCTCTAGAATTTGAGAAACACTTGGGCAAGACATCCTTATGCCCACACTCTTTTCACTCCTGTCTCCACTGACCAGTCACTTGCCTTCCCCCTGCAGACCTTGGGCCCTTTCACACTACACATTTATAGCACTGTGACTCCACATTAACTGCCATGGTTGCTTCCTAGAGCTCTCTGGTTGAGAATTTTTTAATGTACTTGGGTATACTGCAAAGTCTTCTGCTGATACGTTACTTTTGTGTGTGCTACTTTTGATAAGTTACTTTTGTGTTGCGGCATGAGCAACAGCCCTCACAGCTTGAACATTTGAGATAAAAACCAAGAAGAGAGCATTTATTCAGGAGCCATTGCACATCCCACTGTTTCATTCACCAATGACAATTTGTACAGAGCAATCCTGTGCACATTTGATCAGAAATAAACCTTAACCATTGAGCTCAGGATGACTTACACTATAAATAGAAGAACCAAGGTCATTTGAGCCAGTGTGGCATAGTGGTTTGAGTCTTGGACTACAACTCTGGAGACCAGGGTTCGGTTTCCACCTCGGGCATGAGACCCACTGAGAGACTTTGGGCAAGTCATACTCTCTCAACCTCAAGAGACACCAAGCCTCCTCTGAACAAATCTTGCCAAGAAAAAAAACATTTCTTAGGGTGGCCATAAGTCAGAAACAACTTGAAGGCACACAATACACACATACCCTAAACTGAAAATCATATGCAAACAAAAATCCATCATTGATACTTTTATTGGCCAACCAAAATGCACAATATACTTCTTGCAGGTTTTCGAAGCTCCATGGGCTTCTTCATCAGGCAAGATGTTACAAACCAAACAGGGAAAAAAAACAATTGGAGGTGTTAGATGCCTACATGTTGTTTCCGTCTTTAATTAAGATGGTATATGGTGGGAAGAATATCCATTTGCAGGCAGGATCCTGCTCCTCCTTCTGGCCCTGTGGCTCTAGGGCAGGGGTAGGCAACCTAAGGCCCGGGGGCCGGATGCGGC